GATTAAGGACAATACCTTTTTTATGTGCTTGTTTTATTTCACTTAAATCTATAGAAATTATGTGAATATCGGGCTAAGTTAATGTAGCTACCTTTTACAGACTGACCTGTGTAAAGCGTTTTTGAAGTTATACTTCTTTAGGCGCGTTATGAAAAAATGATGAGAGTGAAATTTTAAGATGCGCGCGCATCACTCTAACACAAAATTTTAACATAATGAAGTTGGTCGCTTTAGCGACCAACTTCATGCGTTACTTTTGTGTTTACCGCACATTAAGAAAATCTACCAACAAGATAGAAATAGAATCTCTATTTAGTGGGTGCTAACGACTGCATTGTAAAGGCCTATCAAAAGTATTTATTAATCTGGAACAACGGAACCAAAGCGCGATTCAGGAGACTACAGCGCCATCTCTTGACCATTGGTGTAGTAGAACCAAAAACCACATCATTATTTTTTGTAATAAAGTAACAGTTATAGGTATTCATATTTATAATACCAAAAGTATTTATTAATCTGGAACAACGGAACCAAAGCGCGATTCAGGAGACTACAGCGCTATCTCTTGACCATTGGTGTAGTAGAACCAAAAACCACATCTTTATTTTTTGTAATAAAGTAACAGTTATAGGTATTCATATTTATAATATTTATCCACATGTTTCTAGTTTGTATATTCGGAATACGGATTTTAATTGAATATTTTGATTATTTATTTATTTTTTCAAATTAAAACTGAACTTTATTGACTTCGTCCTTTTCCAGACTTTTTATTAATTTATTGTAATTAATTATTTGCATGCAATTAAAAACTAATTTTAAACGATGCCAAAGAAGGATAACTTCTCACGCGCCTACATAAGTACACGCACCCATTTTTTTTAATTATCTGGGGGCACGGAAGTGCGTGAGCAAAAACAGCGAAACGGCCGTACCATCCTTTTCCCGAAACAGTTGCGGACATTTTCAACCCCCTAAAACTTCGTTGGCGATAAAACTAGAAGCCTGAATTTTCAGTAACCAAGTAAGCATTGTATAAACTCGGTATATTTAAAATTTCATTGAATTTGGTAATCGCTCTCAACAATCTAATTAATATGTGAGATACATAGAGCTCTCTCTTGAGAGCGACTACCAAATTGGTAATCTGTTCTGTTCTGGTGTTGTGGTAATCGCTCTCTGTTGAGAGCGACTACCAAATTGGTAATCTGTTCTGTTCTGGTGTTCTGGTAATCGCTCTCTGTTGAGAGCGACTACCAAATTGGTAATCTGTTCTGTTCTGGTGTTCTGGTAATCGCTCTCTGTTGAGAGCGACTACCAAATTGGTAATCTGTTCTGTTCTGGTGTTCTGGTAATCGCTCTCTGTTGAGAGCGACTACCAAATTGGTAATCTGTTCTGTTCTGGTGTTCTGGTAATCGCTCTCTGTTGAGAGCGACTACCAAATTGGTAATCTGTTCTGTTCTGGTATTTTGGTAATCGCTCTCTGTTGAGAGCGACTACCAAATTGGTAATCTGTTCTGTTCTGGAGTTCTGGTAATCGCTCTCTGTTGAGAGCGACTATCAAATTGGTAACCTGTTCTGTTCTGGTGTTTTGGTAATCGCTCTCTGTTGAGGGCGACTACCAAATTGGTAATCTGTTCTGTTCTGGTGTTCTGGTAATCGCTCTCTGTTGAGAGCGACTACCAAATTGGTAATCTGTTCTGTTCTGGTGTTCTGGTAATCGCTCTCTGTTGAGAGCGAATTCAAAGCAAAGTCAATTTATTTATTTAATACATATAAGATTTTTAATATTGATATGGTTAGTGTAAGATATTGTTAGGTGAGCCAATTTCGTAATAACTCAAGACAGAAGGTTCCTTAAGTAGGGACTGAATAAATTTACCGACTTGGCATAACATGGATCTCACAGCTTTTGACGGTAGAAGAAGAAGAACTGAGTTGCGAGACTTGGTTTTTTTTATAAGTTATGTTTTTGATGGCTAATTTATTTCCAAATAAAGTCTTTCCAGGCCTTGTAAAAAATATGTTTTCAAAACATAAATATAATGAAGATGTAAGCTGTAGTAAATATTTGGAATATTGAATACAATAAAATTGTGTAAAGCGAAAGATATTTCTATGTTCGTCTAAAATTGACAATATAAGGGGTTCATATAACCAAGTAAGTATCTTATTGAAAAATAAATCACATCTTATTTAACAACAAAAACTTAATAGCGGAAGTTTTACAATAGAACTCTGAGCTACAGGACTCTATGAATTGTATGAAGTAGTTTTGTAGGGTAAATGTGGGAAATTAGTTCTGTTCCTATTAAAAGACGAATGAAAAAAATTTAAAATTGGTTTCAATTTTCATCATTAAATTCGGTCGATGCGTTCTAATGACAATATCATGTTTCAACCGAAAAAAACCGAAATTCCTGAACGCCATATTTCTTCACATTCTTATAATTTTTTTTTGTTATAAGAAAATCAACAAGAAAAACGCTTGATCTCGTGTAAGGCGCTATGTCTTCCTGCCTGACAGACAGGAAGACATAGCGCCTTACACGAGATCAACGATACTGGTTAGGGCCCCGGGACCCAAACTCTCGTAAATAAAGGTAAATTTAGTTGTCTCGGGTCCCGAGACTTGCGTATCGAGACTCGAGACGAGACACGATTGTCGAAATTGTATTGTAATCATTTTTATCTTCAAACCATTGAAAGAGCCTATCTTCACCTGTTAGTTTAATGAATAATCACTTGGTCTACTACGTAACCATTGAGTGTACAACACGCGTCTGCCGCGCCAACACATTGGTGGTGGGACAACAAGTATATCTGTTTGTGAACAAAAAATTTTTTTTTTTTTATAGATAGGCCCGACAAATGACTCCACCCCACCTGATGTTAAGTGAAGGTGAAGTCCAGACGCGAAGATAGCTGAAACAGCATTTCTACCTGCCACACCAGCCATCCTCACCCTGCCGGCCTGCATGTTGCTTCTTCACGCCTCTTTTAAAGGATCCCAGGTTGTAAGAGGGAGGGAACACGTGAGCGGGCAGAGCATTCCATTTACGGATAGTGTGACAAAGAAATGAGTCACCAAATTTCTTTGTACGCGTTTGAATTGTGGCCACAGTTAGACGGTGACAACGTAGGCCAGCGCGCGTGGTCCTCTGAAGGAAAGGGGAAGGTGGGATAAGAGAGAATAACTCCTCAGAACACTCGCCGGGGTACAGACGATAGAACGCGCTTAGTGACGCCACGTCACGACGTAATTGAAGAGGCTCAAGGTGTTTAGTCACCTCCTCATCGCCTATGACCTGCGCAGACGAGTGAGTTTTGACCGCGGACATTTCTTAAAATTACATCGAGTAACTTACACGACGGATTCAAACTTCCGCGTACAAAAAGTCCCCCGAACCACTGTACATTGATAGACCAGGGGGCCAATCGCCTAACTGGATTGCTTTGGAAAACGCTATCGCTTACGATTTCATTTTGTTATTTATAGCCCCCTGAGGTTTTCAAATGCCTCGCGCTCTTTTTTTTTCTTTTGCATTGGTAATAACAATGTTAAAGAAAATGAGCGTGAGGTATTTCGGCGGTTAGAAATAACAAAATGAAATCGTAAGCGATAGCGTTTTCCAAAGCAATCTGGTTAGGCGATTGGCCCACTGACTGGACAAAAGTACGGGGGTCACCTCGAAAAATATTTAACTTGACAAGACTAGGTAGGCGGAGTGATTGAGAACATGACTAGTCCCCTAAACTAGACTAGGGACAAAAGTCAAGTCTGCTCAGGTCATTGAACATACCTATTATTTATTTTATGTTCAATTAGCGGCCCGCCCTCGCTTGGCTTCGGTGTAGACTACAGTTTTTGTTCTCAGGCTTGTATTATACACAATGACATTCATCTTTGATTCTTCTTATACCAGCATGCAAAGTCTCAGCCCGATCGGTTTAAAATTGACAAAGTTTCATACAAACTTTCATTCCCTATTTTATCCCCTTGGGGATATAATTGATCAAAATCCTTTCTTAGCGGATGCCTACGTCATAACATCTACCTGCATGCCAAATTTCAGCCCGATCCGTCCAGTGGTTTGGGCTGTGCGTTGATAGATCACTATGTCAGTCAGTCACCCTTGAGTTTTGTATATATAGATAAATGTTGTTTTTTACTAAAAATGCCTTTCTATTAATTAGATTCTAGTAATCAGCTCAATTCAAATTTTATTATTACAAGTCTCGAAGTCCTGCGACGTCCCGGGACTTTGAAATTGTCTGGAATTCCCTAACCCTAAACCCTAGCTAATACCCTTCAACATCAAAGTAGCAGTAGGTTGAGTAAAGATTCGTTTACACCCACATAAAACTCGCTGCATGCTCTCTCAATTACTGAATGACGAGATAATGAAACGTTCAGCAAGTAAAGTGTTTGTCTTTGTTATAATTTACTTAAATTAAAGTAGATTATTATTGTCTTTTATGAGATAATATTTAAGATATCTCTTGAGTTACGAGCTTCACGTCATAAAATTAAGAAACGACTTAGTGAGTTCGAATCATCTTGAAGTTTGATGCAATTCAATCTGGCACTTACGAGTAACTTGGTGTAAACGGCTATAAGAATAAGTTTAGATGGAAGCGTAAGGAAAATAACAGGTGTACGCGTTGCCAGCAGAGAGAAAATTTGTGAAAAGTGTAGTAGACACGGACCAATGGGAGGTGCGCGGTAGTGAGCGGCGGGCGTGATTGGAAGCGCCAGCGACGCGAGGCGGCGTGGGCGGTGTATGACGCATATGGGTGAAGAAGACACTATCAAAGCTTCATACAGTGCGCGCGTGTGAGCGAGCACTGGCGACCTCTCCCCGCCAATAGAAACGTTTCTCTGCGTACGCGACAGCTAACCAGTGCGCACGCACACACGCGCGATTGTATCAAGTTAAGTCTCTGTACCTTCTTTGCTTACTCGACTGAGGTGCGGATAGTGTATATCGCCGTAGTCACCGGCGGGCCAGGCTGCGCACATCGCGTGCGCCGTCAGCGATCACCGAATACGTGACGATCACACACGATCGAGAAACAACGGCCCGTCAAACTGAAGTACTCGAGGAAAAGTTTCTTCATTGTTCATTCACATTGTGACAGTGCGATAAGGAATCGTTCCGAACGAAAAAGTGACAATATTCTGAGAAGAGGGCCGTAGGAAACCGTTTGGATTTTAGGTAATATTCAAAATTGGTACAGTTACTAAAATAAGCGAACAAGTGGTTGAAGCGTTTGTTAAATTTCTGCTTTTTGTAAATCGCAATGGCTTTATCACCAGTTTGCAAGTTATCGTTAAAATCAAACGAGTACATATTTATTCCTTATGTTGTCAATCACATCTATTATTTAATAAAACAGTCAAATTAATTATCGTTTCCTAAAATAAAATCTATTCTATTTATCTCAATTAAACCTTAAGGCATCTCGGAAATATAATCAGCGTAGCGTTCAGCAAACGAAATTCAGCCTGATTCCTGGTCAAAGTTGTTTAATTTCTAGTCAAATTTTCTTTTAATTTCTTGATACATAAAATGTAGTTATTGTGTTTAAAATACAAACATTAATATAACAACATTGTTAAAGTATGTCATTTGACAATATAGTTCACCGCAATGTGGAGAAATTTCGCTGATTGAAAATATTATTCTAAAAGATTTACGATATTCGGGTTATGTTTCAGTAGCGTAGTGGTCAGTGTTTACACAGCGAAACATACCGGTTTGAATCTAGCCCAATTTATTATTTAAAAGTAAAACTTTCTTGAAAATCTTTAAAATACATTTTATGCTGAAAAATGAAAATATGAACCTCAGTGACTTAGCATGAAGCGACTGAAAGGTAATGAAGGAGCTTGAAACGATATCGTTCAAAATTGGTCCCAAAATACAGCAAGATGAAAATTGTGTCATTTAAAAGATTGTTTTTTTTAACTTAAGAGTTATTTTAATTTAGAGTGATTTAATGATAAATAATAATAAATAAATATTTCCAACACTTACACCAATGACAAGAAAGCATTGTAGCCTTGTGTTATGGGATACTAGGGCAACGGATAGAATACATAAACTGATACATATATAAGTATATTTATATAGAAACACATATTAAACATCCATGACTGGAGTACAAATGCTCGTATTCATCACACAAACATCTGCCCCCACCAGTATTCGAACCCTGGACCTCTCTAATAGGCGACACCTTGAAAACCGGCTTACAACACCACCCGGCCGTGTAGGTCGTCGAATAATAAGATTATAATCAATAGTAATTAAAAATGGTCTGGAAAATATATATATTTTGCTAACATTTTCAGCGTATTCCTCCAGTAGTTCTATTTTGATAGCTTTTGAGGATGAATGCTTAGTTTTTAGACCAAAATTCATTTTTTTGTATAATAAGGACCAAATCTCAATTTGTTATCATCATGTATTAATCTATATTTTCAATCTCCTTTAGGAATCTTCATAGTATAAACATATACTTACTCGTAATTGTATGAATTCAATAATTTTTCACAAAAAGTATAAAACCAAAACATACTCTAAAAGCATAATGTTAAGGATCTTTTCTTAGCTGCAGAACTTTAAAACATTACAACTATCTCACGTTACACCTCTAGAAAAGCTTGAAAATTTAGGTGTCAATTACATTTTAGCTTGCCTACTAGAAAAAATAATAATAACATAAGTAAAATGTATTTTTTGTCGTTGATGTCTTTCATATGGAATGTATACGTGCCAAAAATATCATGGGCAATATCTTACTCCTCCCGTTAATCTCTTTAATGAAGATAATTGGAGAGGTTCTTATTAGAAAATGGTAATTGTGTGAAAAAAAAATATTCTTATCTTGATAAGCTGCTAATGGACATTTTCAGGACGCGGTTGAAACATCATAAAAATAAAAAATAACTAGCTGACCCAGCGAACTTCGTACCGCCCTAAAAAAATAGGGGTTGTCCAGCGGACAAAATTGTGAATCTAAACCATTCTCAGATCCCCTTGAACACACATAAAAAATTTCATCAAAATCGGTCCAGTCGTTTAAGAGAAGTTCAGTGACATACACACTCACAGAAGAATTATATATTTGTTTCTTAGGTTTTCACGCACATCACTCATTAAATAAAACTAGTTTAAACGGGATAATGCACGAAACTTTATTTATTTATTGACGTTTCGTAGCCTTTCCAGGCTTCGTCGTCAGAATCTCGTCGAATCGTCAGGCTTCTGACGACGAAGCCTGGAAAGGCTACGAAACGTCAATAAATAAATAAAGTTTCGTGCATTATCCCGTTTAAACTAGAATTATATATATAAAGATTTGCACATAGTCTTCAAAATAATATAGTTTAAAAAAATGTAATCATAATCAAAACCATTTATTCAGTTTAGGCTGTTACAAGCACTCGTGAATGTCTAGAAGCTACGCCATCGGTTCGCAAATCTACGGCGGGAGAACTTGTACTGAGAAGAACCGGCAAGAAACTCAGCAAGCGCTGTTTTTTCTCCCTGTATTATTATTTACAGAGTTAAGTCCCTTTTAAAGTGCACTCATTTATTACCTTGTTAATTTCATTTATGTTTATTGGATAAGTTTATTTGAAATTTTATGCGAATTGGAAAAGAATTAAATTGTAACAACTTTAAGTCAAATATATTGCTGTTCGTGGCATACACAAATTGAACTTAACAGATTCTCTGAGAAAAACATTTTAAAAATAAAAAACTGGACGACTCTGTATATAATAATACATCGAAAAAAAAACAGACATTGCTGAGTTTCTTGCCGGTTCTTCTCAGTACAAGGTAGTAGATTTACGAACCGATGGCGTAGCTTCTTGACCTTAACAAGCCAAGACAGAATAAATGATTTTAGAATTTGAATTTCAAGTCACGAATGATGCTCGATATATATGTGACATTATTTAAAATGCTTCAATATAAAATATTTCTTTATTATTATAATATAAATGCTAACAAAATTCTATATGTAGATTGAATTTTCTGTGATTTGTGTTTGTTGTAATTGAAAAGCTGGATTCTCGAAGAAAATAATTTTGATAAGCACCGAGTTCTGTGTTTAAAATTATGTCTATTACAATTTTATATACAGACATCATATGTATGATGAATGATCCATGCCTCTCCTATTCCACCCATAGGGAAAGCCTGTATTGGGAACATCAATGGCTCAAATTCACATGGTCGGAAGCCCGTAACCGGGTGCATGAAAGATATTTCTCGAATTCGGGCACCCGAAGCAATATTTACACTGTAATACGAGCTGAAAGACGGTATCGGGTAGTCAAAACGAAAACTACCCAAATTCAGGCGTACTGACACCGTTCATTTACTCTTAGTTATTCACCCGAATTGCATGTGCACTCGTATTCGGGCTAGCCACCATATGTAATCGCGCCTTAATAGGCTGATGACAATGATGTAGAATCTCTTATCTATTAGACAAGTCCGTCCGTCCGTCCGTCTGTCTGTGGTGCTGTTTCAGCGGCCAAATCGTAAGAGACAGATAAAGAGAATATTTAAGTTATAAGTTAAGAATAGTCTGATAAGACTACAAACCGGATTTGAGTAACGTAGCACTTCCGGTTTTCGAGAAATCACGTGATTTCTATTTTGTAATTATCACAATTTTAATTAACTATTTAAAGGTTAATTTTTTTTTTTTTAAATCAGGTTTTGGTGAACATTTGTTTCACTAGTTTGCTAGTTAACCATATTAATTGAATATACCTTAAAATTGTATTATTTGTAGCAAAATTAGGGTATATATGTATGTATATTATTTGATCATGTAACTCCTCAGTCTATAAAATGGATCAAGGTTCCCTTCAGTAAAATACAGGGGAGGTCCGAGGCTAAATTGCACACTGAAAGTCTGGTACAAACTTAAATTTTTGGTGGTCTTCTCATGTCTACTGACTAGTTTGACGATAGCGAAACGAGTGAGAAAACTAATTTTCTAGTTCTAAAGTACTTTTATGAATCATCATCAGTTATCTCGTACAATTATGACACAAAATATGACTCTATTGCATATGGTTTGCATCTTATTAAATCAGTTTACCTACTATTGTTATATAAATATTAAGAATTATAATTTTAACATTTTAACATTTTTAGATAGAATTTGTATAATTATATTATGTAGAATTAAAACGAATTTAGAAGGATTTTTGAAGTCAGAACTTATTTAGGTCCGTTGTGATTTGAAACTCGATGAAACGAAAATTTAACAGTATTAATTTATTTATGTGATCACCAACATAATAAACATTGACACAAAAATCTAGCAGGTAATGATAAAACGCTTAAGCTTAATGTTATTACAATTATAGGTGATGCGTTATGGAATAGAAGCAACAAATGCTGGTAAACTGTCAATGAAAAAGTCTTTAAAATCTTTCTAAAATTAAAAACAAAATACATTCAATCAACAATGTCCCGGTTAAAATTAATGCATTATAAGAAGAGTTATAATCGAATAAAGTCAAGTGACATGACATGTGACATTATGACACCAGGTATCCGTAATTTTGTAACTCTCTGCAAGAGACAGATATCCGAACGGTAACAGTCTCGGGGTCGACACCAAATAATCGGTGGTTCGATCCTGAGCTGGGTTATTTTTTTAATTGCTTTTTTTCTTTTATTAGGCTATTATTTATTTTTCGAAACAATTTAAGTATAGAATATTTAAATTTGGCCAGTATTTTACAATACCTGTAATAGTGAAGTACTAAACGTTTGGTAGGTGCCTAAGTTGTTTTTTAATACAGACTTGGTTTTTATAACAATCCTTTCAAACCTTTCAAATTTTTTAATATTTTTTTTGAAAAAAAAAACCTAAGATAAGAAAAACATAACAAAAGAAATAAAATAAAAATAGCCGGTAACAAATAAAGCTGCGGGCGGCTGAAGGACTTTTACATACCCCCCAAGTCAAGCGTGCGTAAAGAAGTTTCACTTCAAAGACAATAATATTTTTAAAGAAAAACAAATTTAAACATTGACCTGTATTTATATATTAGAAATGTGTAAATTTTTAAGATGTCGTATGTCTGAATTCCCAAAGATTTCTGACAAGAGAGCTAGAATAACCCCGATGAGACTTGAACACAAATTACATTTACCTCAATTTTTGAAAAAAATACATATAAAGAAAAGTTTACTAGAAAAAAATCCACGCGGACCAGGCAGCGGACGGGACTCGAACCCGTATCCTTCGCTATCCGGGCGAATGCACTGACCATTATGCTACCACGGCCCTATTAGCCGCGTCGAAATTTTCCTAGCCTTAAGCTGCATGTTTAAATCTTTAGATTTAAACATCTAGCAGTTAAATGCTTAAAAAATAAATAAAATCATAAAAATACATATTACAATAATTTGCCGCCTTATCTGCGGTCACTTCCTAAATATGAGTTTGTAAGGTCCCTGAAGCAATGGTAAATATATAATGCATTTTAGAATCTAAATGAATATTTTAATAATAACGTTTTGTAAAAATAACTATTCCATACCCGATTAGGGTAACTGTTTATTTCAATTGTGTGCACTAACATCTAGCAGTGTCACTAAATGTAACAGTTTTGCAATAAAGAATTATTCTATTCTATTCTACAATTGATCTCTAGTTCGCATATCGCTAGTTTCATTTATTCACCTTGCCATACAACATTGTATTTTACACTAAAGTCTACTTTTTGGTATACTTAATATTCCTATTTGCGTGTGAGTTGGATGAGGGGAATTTAAACCACATTTTGTTCTCCTGTCCTCGTTTCCATAGAAGCCCCCTTTTCAACAGCCTGATCTCACTACATATCGCATTCCCCGCAAATTTATATGTCTAGTATTAAATGAAACAGATGTATATAAGTGTATTGTTACCTTCTTTCTTTAAAACAATATTAAAGTATAAAGTTATACCTACATAGATATTTAGATTTTATAATTTGCAAATTTTGTATAATATGTATGTTCTATGTAAATTACATTCTTCCTACTTCCTTGAGGAGTTCTATGGCGCAAGTGGTTAGCGCGTTCGGCTGCGATCGTTGAACTTAAGCAACTTTAACAATGGTCGGTCATTGGATGGGTGACCCAAGATTACTATCTCGAACTCCTCCGTGCTTCGGAAGGCACGTTAAGCCGTTGGTCCAGGCTGCATCTGCAGTCGTTAGCACCCACCAATACGCACTGGGCCCGCGTGGTGGGTCATGACCCAATCTCCCTATTCCATCCATAGGGAAGGCCTGTGCCCCAGCAGTGGGGACATTAATAGGCTGATGATGATGACTTCCTTGATCCTTTCTTTTTAGTATTCCGTATCCTTTTGCTTTAAACTCCTTCCGTTTCCCTAATTTTTGTTTTATACTGTGGCTAAACGCACAAGCCGCGCAAACACAAGAAAAAAGAAAAAAAAGTTTACTGTTAATTGTTATTCGTAACAACTATACTACTATAAAGTAAATTGTTACTGATTTGTAAAGCGATCATACATCATTTATTCGCGTGCCATTCAATATTTAGCGTTTCTCTCGCAATGTAATTTTAGTTGATAACCATAAAAGTTACCAATTTCCGAGTACTGCCAAAAGTTTCGAAGGTTTGATGATTCAAATAGGGTATTTGACAGTATTAAAAATAAAGTGCCAATTGTTAGCATCTGTGTTTAGAATGAATATTGGCAGGGTTTTTGCTATTTTTACAAAAAAAATATTCATAATTTTACTAAAAACCCACGAAAAAGATAATAGTTTTCTTATCTATTGTCACGTGACCCAAAACGCTTGGGATTGGCGGAGCCTAAAATGACGTCACACGCAAGTAAACTTCCGGTTAAAGTGACATTACATTGTATCATTTGACGTTTTAATAACAGTCGTGTGACGTCACACACTAGTAAGACGCCATATTGTCCAGAGAAACGTTTTGGCGGCAACTTGAAAATGGAGCTTTTGATTTGGTTATTTTTACTGAAATACACAACAAAATGATGAATATCCACTTTTTACAGACTCCATAAACATTAGTCAATAACGTGAGATCGTTTTCAAATACCCTATTGCCACACGAAGTAAGAGTACTTTCTTTCACAGTAGATATAGTTTATTCTTAGATGAAGTTAGCGATATTCGAATGTATGATAAAGTAGTAATGAAGTTTGAATTGGATGGAATGAGACGACGCAATACATTTTTATTTACTTCTCTTCCTCTTTCAAATACAAATTAATTGTATGGTTATTCGTATAATTTGAATGACTTCTAAAATCGAGTTATTTGAATAATGTCATTCATAATCGCTCATGTTACTTTATATTCAAGGTAAGTTCAACGACCAAGGGAAACAGTGATTAATTTTTAAATTTACAAGAAATATGGGTTTTCTGACTTTACTATTCTTCAATATGTCAATAAAAATAAGCTATGGAACTTGCATAGGGATAATTTTTACAATTGGAAAAAACCATTTGTATTACTTTGAAAAATATAAGATTTTATTAGACCTAAAAAATGAATCACCTTATTATCCCAATTTTGCAAAAAATATTTTAGATCATTAAAACGTTAATGAAAAAAAATTGTACCCTTTGTGTATTTGCGAGATTTGAACCTCATAAAGTTTATATGAATAAGGAATGCAGCGAGCTAATATTATACTTAAATAATATTATGTATTAGATAAACTAAATTAAAAACTGTAACATTACGCCGTACACACTTAATGATTTTATAATTAATACAACGCGATTGTTTGGGACCCGTATGAACATAAATACAATTATATGATTGAGAAGATACAACGTAAATTTCTCAGATATATTTAAAAGTGGTTGTATGGTTATTATCCATTTATGTACCCATCTATGTTTATATCTGGTATGGTGGGGCAGGATACTCTCGCCTCGCGTCGGAAAATCTCTTTGGCTTTGCATTGCCATGCGATCATCCATAATAAGGTTGACAATCCAGTGGTTCTTGCAAATATGAAACTGGTCGTTCCGAAAAGACACATGAGCGGAGCGTTGGGCAACGACGTAGGGGCGCCACGCTGACGAACAAAAGTTTTTGCGGAGCTTAAGGGAGTCCGTACGCGACGAGCTCAAAATGCACCGACTTCGAGAGCAATCTCTTTGGCTAACGCTGTACATGATCGAATTCCGGAGGCTGACATATTATCCCAAAAATTATGTGTGTTTTGTTATTATTTAATGTCATATTTAAATTGTATGTAAAGTGTTTAGCTGTTAGATTTGTTTTTTTTTAACCAGTGTACGTTTTGGTCTAGCACTGTAAGTATACTGTGTAGTAAATAAATAAATAAATAAGTATTTAAAGTCTTTGACAAAAGAATCTCAATAAGATTCAAAATCAACTGATTTCGACCAAAGCTGGCATCGTAACTTAGTATTAGGTGTAGCTCTTAATCAAAACTTATAGAATGGCAAAATATGATAGACATATTACATCAAGGCGAACAGAAAAAAATAACATTATATTTTCGTGTGAAACGTGTCAAATTTTAAGAGGTTTACGACTTGATCTAGATAGGAGATGTGTATATCAAGCTATAGCCGAATTATTATATGTATAGTGTTCCCATGCAGTTGGCGGGGAGCTATTAATATGATGAAACCGTTATCACTGGATGTGACGTTATCGCCGGTGGGCAAACAACCAGGTCGACTCAGCCTGAGCGGAAACCAGGACAGACACTCGAAAACCTGCTTTAAGGGTAAAGCGGTTGAACTCAATATGCTGTAACTCAAACAGGTCTAGATTTAGAAGACAAAGTGACACTATTACAGGGCGGGAATGTTATTTCCAAACAAGTAAACCCGCCGCGTCTAAATGAGGACGACCATAATTTTAAAAGGATATTTTACTTTTTGATTTTAAAGAGTATTTGGATACTTTTAAAGTTTTAACTTAGTAATTACTATGTGTACCTATTTGATTACTATCTTTACTATTAAATCTCGTTTCATAAAATTGGTAAACCAAGTGGTTGGAAACATTTTATTAACATTATTCCTTACGGTATTGCCTCAAGCAAAACGCGTTTTGTAATTTGATTTGATTTGCAAATGTCCAATAAACCAACTCCGTTGGATTAAGCTCACTGACATATGTTTAATGATATTTAATTAAAATAAAACTTAATATTTTTAGTATAGTTTGTGGAAAAGTTAATTCTTAAATAAATAATGACGTGGAGTTGAGCCGTGAACTATTATAGCAATTTAGTAATAACGTTCTCTACAAAGCAAGTTGTAAACACGGCGCCGGCGCCGGCGTATTCTCCCTATTTGTATTTCCGCAGCTCGGCTCTTCCGGCCCAACGCAAAGCCTTCCTCGAGTTTGTTTTTTGTCGAGGCAGCTGAGCAAGCACAACGACAGCTATTAAGTATGTTTAAAAATTTCCTTTATTTTTGTGCAGGATAAAAAACATGGAAACAATAAACTCGATCGGGCGGGTGAACGAGGAGCACCACGAGGAGGAGCCCATGACTGAGGCTCTGCAGCTGGTGAAGAATGAGGAGCGGCCCGCACCGGAGCCCGCACCGGACCGGCAGACGCCCGCCGACCACCTGCCTGACGGGGGCGGGGCAGGGGCAGGGGCAGGGGGAGGGGCAGGGGCAGGGGCAGGGGCAGGGGCAGGGGCAGGGGCAGGGGGAGGCGGCCGGGAACCTTCACCGCACCCGCACCCTCACTCGCACTCCGTCATCACCTCACGCCGGGCCATGCGCACCATCACCGCCGCCGGACACATCACCGAGGCGACGGACCTGCCCGACGACGGCGTCAAGGACGAACCTCCCGAGCCCCAGCAGCTGGAGCACGAGCACCAACAGATGCAGCAGTACCAGCCTAAGCTGGAGGAGGGCCCGGACGCGCGCGAAGTCCAACACTACGACGAGGAGCGCCTCCGCCTCTCCGAAGTGGAGACTGCGCGCTACCTCGCTTTCAAAGCCGAGCCCTACCGTTCGCTGCCTTCCCCGGCGGACAAGCAACCGCAGCCGCAGTACGCGAGAGCGCCGCAGCGCCCGCCGTTCGGGCGAGGCTTAGCCTTTCGTTACAGCACCCCGCATCACGTCATAGTCTCCCAGGACGGCGAACAGGAGGAGCATGCTCACGAGGCTTTCCTGGCGCACAAAGATAAGCCGGAACAGCTGCAAGTGTACGCTCCGACCGGCGATGCGAACGCGCCCGGTTCGGACGGGCGGCAGTATGCGACGGTGCTCAACGACCAGGCGGTCGCGTCGAGCGCGTTGGAGATGATTCAGACGACGTCGCTCAGCAATCAGCAGGCGGTGGGCGTCGCGTACCAGCAGGTGAAGTACGAGACGCGCGCGGAGGGCGAGCCGCGGCCCAGCACATACGCGAGCCTGCTGCCGGTCACGTCGGTGCACGGCGGGTACGCGTATGCGGGGCAGAGTCCGCAGTACGCTAGCGCGGGCTACAGCGGGTACGGCGGCGGCGGCGGCGGCGCCAAGGAGCTGCTGACGCTGTACGGCGGTACGCGAGGGGACGACTCCCCGCCCGGCCAGCTCATGTACCGCAGCGACCCCACGCTGTCCTCCTCGCTGACGCCGCGCGCCGGACACGTCGTCTACGGGTCGGTGGTGCCGCAATCGCAGCCCGTATACGAAGCCCCACCCAGCCCGAATTCACAGCAGGTATATCCTTAATAAATAAATAATAAATATTTCCAACACTCACACCGATTAGCCTAGCCCCAAAGTGAGCACTATAAGGCTTGTGTTATGGGATACTAGGGTAACGGATAGAATACATAGACTGTACATGTATAAGTATATTTATATAGAAATACATGTTAAACATCCACGACTGGAGTACAAATGCTCGTATTCATCACACAAACATCTGCCCCCACCGGGATTTGAACCCGGGACCTCTCGAGTCGGCGATACCATGAAACCCGGCGTTCAAACCACTCGGCCACGGAGGTCGTCGAGGTATGGGGATTGAATAAAAAAAGAACATCATTTTTGGTTTAAGACTTTGGAACGCTTAGTCTATTGATACTTGTGATGCCGGACAGTATTATACTGGGGGTAACAACATATTAAAGATTTAAAAAAATCGGATTGTTTGAACAGTTTCATATCAACACCAATTTTAATATTAGTTTTACTAAAAGATTTTTTTTCTAAAGTACTCTAGATTTATATAGCTTAAATTTCATAGGTATCACTGTCCTCACAGGTCACCTTATATACGCACGGCAACACGGTACAGTACAAAGTGGGCAGCGAACACTACCTAGGTCAGGGCAGCGGCGTGGAGTACGTGCCGGTGCCGGGGTACGAGGGCGGCGGGATCCTGGTGGAGGGCTACACGGCACAGCCGCAACCCTGGGCCCCACACAACTTGTTGAACATCGACGAGGGTTTCGATCCTGGTCAGTTTATACAAACCCATTACATTCCTACTCACGAACACTAAGAATAGAGTGAATTTTACTTTCCTTACTTTACTCGCATCATAGTCCTCTCTCGTGCAAGTTTTGGTTTTCATTGATAATTTTTACATGGCTGAACATTTTTCTTGCCTAACTCCTCATTACTTGTTACTAGCTCTTCTTTCAAACCATTTTCCAGTGCATTATTGATCCTGTTACTATTAACTTAAATGGGCCACTATTTTTTAGGACAACCTACTTTTATTGTTTGCGTGTTTTTATTAGGAATGGCGGGCATGGGTGAGGTAAAGGAGTGCGTGAACTGCGCTGCCGCTACGACACCACTATGGCGACGCGACGGCACCGGCCACTACCTGTGCAACGCGTGCGGCCTCTACACGCGGATCAACGGCGTCAACCGACCGCCTCTCAAGGGACAGAAGGCGAAACCTCCACAAGCTTTGGTAAATATCGCTTGAACTCCTGCATCTCTGTTATACAACATGAAGTGTGATAAGCAGTGTCATGTAACGAGCAGTATTCTTGGCAGCCGACGAACGGCAACCGGCGCGTGGGTGTCACCTGCGCCAACTGTCGCACCTCCAACACCACGCTGTGGCGGCGAAACAACAACGGCGAGCCCGTCTGCAACGCCTGCGGGCTCTACTACAAGCTGCACAACGTGAGTCCAAAACCATACCAACTAACAAAGACACTATCGGTATCATTATAAACAGAGCGACATAATATCACATGATAGTAGCGTATCACAACAGAACTATCGCCGCGATTGTGCATCGATTATGTCGCGCAAGTATCTAATCGCAGACCAGAGCTGCACTATCAGGGAACTCCTCGGCAAACATCGGGCCCGTATAAAAAATCAAAACACAGGGTCTCATCTAATCTCGCGAGATAAAACGCGGGGCTACCGACTGATAGAGAATTATCATCGCGCGACCACGAATATTCATAATGAGATAAATAATCTTTTATCAATTATCTCCTCGTGGGTAGATACGCTTGTTTAAAGGATGATAGGAGCGCGCGACGGTAGATTACGAGGAGTTTCCCCGCGCACTGACGAATACTGACCGGTGACGCGCGTCCGCAGGTGAACCGGCCGCTCAGCATGAAGAAGGACGGCATCCAGACGAGGAAGCGCAAGCCCAAGAGCATGGGCGGCGGGCACGCGGGCGTGGCGAGGGCGGCGGGCGCGCCGCTGCCGGGTACGTGGCGCTAGCTGCGGGAGCGGCGCGCCGTGGCGCTTGTGGCGCTTGTGGCGCTTGTGGCGCTGTCTCGCGCTGTCTCTCCTAACTGTGTCTGTGCTCCGCAGTGGAGGCACACTCGCACAAGGTGCTGCCTCCGCTGTACGCGGCGCTCGAGGCGGGCGCTGTGGCGGGAGCGGGGACGCCGCGACTGATGCTGCCCGCCACCATGTCGACGCGTGAGTACCACTCGCCAAATCGACGCCACTCGGACTTTCCCTCTAACTCTTCGCTGCTTCTCACTGGACTGGCTTCTTCGGCACTGCATCTGGCTGCACACTTCTAGGATTTCCAGCACTCACGAATAAACACTGTATCATCTATCCTATTAACTTTAGAGACTTTACTAACGTTTCGGTGTGATGGCTCCTTGCGCGACGTGTGTTTGCATGTGTCTTACGTTATCTCAAGGTTTGCGCTCCGCTTGCAGCGCGCGGTTGTTTCGTTTTCAGCTAACTTTACGATGTGTGCTTACCTACATACCTACCTGAGAGGATCCTCCGCTCGGGCCCAAATTTGTGTTAACATAATTATTAATGTAGTTTTATCAGTGATCTTAGAGTGAGTGTTCGCTCGGCAGGTAGGTATGGTTTATCAGCCAGTGGTGGCGCTGACCTCTGTTGTTTTTGCAGGGTATCAGCGCTAGACAGCCTCGCTGCGCCCTGTGTCCGCCTTAACTCCCGCAACTTTGTACATAGTTCTAAAGACCCTTAAACCTTTTGTAAATATCAAATGTGTGCCAAAGGAAAGACGCAGTTATGATTTTAGTCCATGTTTTGTATAAAACTTAGAAATTGTATGACTATTAGATATATAGGTAGTGTTATGACTGTACATTATGTCGCGCATTGTAAATATGTATATACGGTGACGTGTGCGTGTGTTGTATAACTGTGTAGCCGCGTGTTGACTCGGCTGCACAAACACCATTATGACGAATTTACTATGCTTTAGTCTTAATATATTTATATTAATATAATGTTAGTTGTTAAGTTGTCAACATGTGGAACGCGTAAGTTTGTAGAATATTTATACTTTGATAGAGATAAATTGTGGTGTCTTTAAAAAAAAATTTCATGTTATAATGTGTCTTCATTTCTCTCCTCTTTATTAATCAAAAATATTTTTTAGCTCTCCGTAATTTGGTCCACACCAGGCACGGAAAATTACCGCTCCCCCTGGTGTTAAGAGTAATCCCAACCATCTATTCCCACCTCGATGGGGTGAACCAATCTCCCCATGGAGCCAGTCTAAGTCACCAACAGGAACATGACACTTCTTTGTTGTCTGCTCTATGGTAAAGTTGACTTTCTTATTCTCGGTGAGCAATTCAATACAAGTGGAAAATTAGTTTTTAGATACCTCTCTTAAATCCAGAGACTAACCTCTCCCTTTATCCCTACATCTTTCCAAGTAAGAATCCCATCTGGTAGCTGAGACTAGTGAAGTAAGTATATAAATTAGGATATACATGTGAAAATAATAATAATATGATTTAATACACTACAGAAAAATAAAAGTGGTAGTAGGAGAGCCCAAGCGGGAATTTTTACCCGACCGCGCAATGCAAGAGCGCGAAGCACGACGCGCAGAAAGGGTATAGTGTTTAACGGTCTATATATGTATGTATGTTCCTTTATGGCACACCAATGACCAAACACGTGGACAGATTTTGATGATTCATACGTCAATCGATTCGCCTTAATCTTAATAAATATGATAGTAATCGAAATTCAATATGGGGACAATTAGACGCAATATTGTGAGAAAGAAAAAAAAATATAAGTTGATGAAATATGTCGAGTGGTTAGTATCGTTGTCAAGATAATCGAAAATCATATTTAGATTTCTTAAACCATTTTTATAAAAAACCTGACTGCATATTACTTCAAATAAAAACTGGAAAGAAAAAAAGAAGTCTAGTAGTGTATAATTCTGTAAAGTAAGGAATTCTTAAATAAAACTACTTTTAACGGGTTAATGCACGAAACTTTATTTATTTATTGACGTTTCGCAGCCTTTTCAGGTTTGCATCGTCAGAATATTGATTTTTTATTTAATTTTGTCGAGCGACATTCGAAAGACTTATACTGAGCGTTCGGTTATTTCATTACAATAAAAATCTTTCGAAGGTAGCTCGACAAAATTAAATAAAAAATCAATATTCTGACGAAGCAGACCTGAAAAGGCTGCGTCAATAAATAAACAAAGTTTCGTGCATTAAAGTAGTTTTATTTAATGAGTGATGTGCATGAAAACCTAAGAAACAAGTAAGGAATTCTGTTAAGAGTTCTGAAATATAAGCATACTTCACTCTAACCTCAATGCTGTTCACCACCATCTTGAGACAGCACGGCCAGCATTATTGTTTCTGACGGAGACACAAATACTTCCACCCGGTGACACAGGCTACCTTTACATTACGGCAACGTGCTTGAAGAATCAAGAATATATATATATATAGATTCTTGATCATATGGATATTTGTTGTCGCCGTTTGCGCTGCCTGGAAGTCCCCTCCTTCTCCATTTTAGCGGTACATGTAGACTCTGGGCCTTTAGCCAGAGTCTACGTATGCCTCTACAGATCCCACACCGGCGACGCTGAAACAACTGGACTCGTTGATCATCTTAGTCGGGTAACAGATGATGCCCGTCCGCAATTTCCCAACGCAGAACTGGTGCTTTTTGGGGACTTAAATTTGCTCCTCCAAAACTGACCATGCAGGGATCTATGCCCATGCAATCGCTCTCACACAACTGGTCAATCAGCCCACCAGGATCCCAGATATAGCGAGTCAAGCGCCTTTTTCACAAGACCTTCTGCTTACGACTCATCCGCAGAAGTATCGGGTTATGGTTTGAGCCCCACAGGGTTCATCAGATCATTGCCTGATATCTGCCAAGATGCCACAGGCCAAAACCCCTCGACCATTGATGGTCAAACGTAGGGCCTGGCACTATGGGTCAACAGATTGGGATGGTATGAGCGACTACTTAGCGTCCGTCCCTTGGAAGCAGCGGTGCTTGAGTGAAAAAGACCTATCGGCCTGCGCCGTTGCTATTACTGAAGAGATCGTAATGGGAATGGAGTATTACATTCCACATACTGATCTCATCATTAAGGACACTAGTAACCGCTGGTTCAATCGCGACTGTGCTTATGCTGTTTATTACGTAAGCAGGCAGCATATCGCGCTTGGATCGAAGGACGGGCTCTCAAGGATTCCAGGGTTGACTCACTGAAATCTGCCATTATAGGCAAGTGCTTCCAAGTCTTGCAAGAAGGCTTACTTCGAAGCAGATGCCCAACGTGTTGCACGTACTGGCCACGAATAGTTGGACCACATTTCCTAATAGGGAACTTGCTTGAGTTCAATGCCAAGAAACCCCAGGTTTGCGATTTTACGGCAAAAACATCGCCATTGTTTCTCCTTCCCTCTCTTCAGAGCACAACACTGGCGCTACAGAGAAACATCACCATGCTCGATATGGAAGTTCGATCAGACCTGAAGCCAAAAGACTACGTCGAAATCGTGATCAAAACAACTTCACGCAAACTCGGAGTCCTGAACAAGGTGCGGCGTTTTTACGAGCCTGATCAACTGTGCTTGTTGTACAAAACGCAAGTGCGGCCTGCGTCGAATATTGCTCGCACCTCTGGGATGGCTTCGCTAAGTGCTTACTCGATGCCACGGTTACAGCGGCGCGCTGCCCGCATTATTGGCGATGAAGAGGTGACTAACAAACTCGAGTCTCTACAATTCGCGCTCGAGTAAATCCAAAAAACCCCGCTTGGGCTCCGCTTCTTTAAAACGTAAACAATTAACCATCAAACAGTAAGGAAAATCAATGCATCATTTATGAGCACTTGATTAAGTAGTTATTTTAAAAGATTTCAACGAATTGAAATCCTCCGGCATTTCGCAATGTAACCGTCGGTTCTCTTCCTTTACATAAGTAATGCTCGAATCTGTGACGTTACATTACAGACAAATGCCTACTAGTAGCCTTAATTCTTTGTCCTAGCCAAGAAACCTTTAATTGATCCTAGCTTTACGAGTAGCGCCATCTATGTGTGAAATGAAAAAAATCACAGTGCTCATTTTAAAACCCCAGTAAAGCAAAGCTACATACTGCGTAGGCTACGACCGCAGCACGTGCTACATATATTGTAAGCTTGTAAGGTGTTAGTTCATATTTACTTCGATAGGTGGCGTCAGGAGTGTGAAAACTACTGCCTGTAACTGCGAGCATGCTCAAGTAGGTAATAAAAGCTAATAACCGTAAGTAGATAAATAAATCTTCTTGTTAATGTTCGTATCATAATTGCAATGAAATTTTCTCCGATAAGAGACAGTAAAACTTTATTATTTATCATCTGGCTTTAAAATAACTATTATGTTGTAATGATAAGGCTCATTTTAAAGTGACAATGAAATTAGTGACTAGACCAAGGGAGACTATACTTAGTTTATGATTTTAAATATACCTACTGACAATATAAATATTCTTATTGATAAAAAATTGACATCGTGTTAACAGATCATTGACGGAATTTATAGTGAAATAAGTAATGAAATCTTGAAAATCAGACATGGGAAAAGGTATTTTCCCCCTATCTTTAGTAAAAAGGGCCAGATTTAGGGCAGAGCAGGCTGGGAATTGGCCCAGGCCCCCACAACTGTATGTCCAACAGTATCAAATGCAAATCGTAAGTGGATTGGACTAGATTGATGGATTTAGGGGCCTCCGCTTCACTTCTTCGTGGCCCCAGGACCCCAGCACCTCTAAATCTGGCCCTGTTTGCAGATAGGGTTTTACATAATTTTATAGAGACATACAATCGATTGCGTACAGGTCGTGCTAAATTGCCTGCATAGCGTGGAATCTAAATGAAATAGGTACTGCAAGAAAGTGCAGGCGTCACATCGATCAGTTTCAGGAGATAAATCCAGTAGCTTAAGAGCCAGTGGACGGCTACCTGTATGTATTTGACCAGACCCGATTATTAAATATCGAAACGGCAGACGTGGTCAAATGCATTTCAAATTCGCCAAAAATCGATACCTGTCTTACCTGAGCGCGCGCCGCGTGCTCCAGTTGGGGCTTAGTGAACCCCCATCTCATATATGGTAGGTATAGGGGCCTCACTGTATAAAACCCCAGGTCTGGTCAAATACATACAGGTAGCTTACATACATACAGGTCGTCACACTCTTAAGCTAATTCTTCACTGGCATTTTGTTGAGTGAGTAAAGTTGTTGCTTTTACTCGAAATCTCACTTTCCATTTCATTAATTCGAATGTTTGACAAATGTCAAATATCTATTACTAGCTGCTGTAACAGAAGTTGCAACGTTTTGCCATTGACGTAATGCATATTAAACTACGTTAGTTTTGTAATAATTAAACTGTTTTTTAATTTTAATATTTTCAACACTCACACCAATTAGCCTAGTTCTCAAAGTAAGCACTGTAGGCTTGTGTTATGGGATACTAGGGTAACGGATAGAATACATTTATAAGTATATTTATATAGAAATGCATATTAAACATCCATGACTGGAGTACAAATGCTCATATTCATCACACAAACATCTGCCCCCACCGGGATTCGAATCCGGGACCTCCTGAGTCAGCGACACCATGAACTCGGGCGTACAAACCACTCGGCTACGGAGATCGACGATCTCCGTAGCCGAGTGCATTTCTATATAAATATACTTATAAATGTATTCTATCCGTTACCCTAGTATCCCGTCAAAGTTTGGGAGTAGGGGCTCGTGACGTCACTTTTGAGTGAATTTTCCCTTATAAGTGTACTCAAACGTGACGTCATGCGACTTTTCAAATCAATATATCTCTGCAATGTTTATATTATGTGAAAAAAGAAAAAATACGTGTCCAATACTTTTTGATAATCTACCTGATAAACGAAGAAAAAAAAAATTGTCATCATCCCTAATTGGAAACTAACGCTTACTATGTGACGTGGTTTAAGATAGATATGATTTTGGATCGCCAACTTTCGGTCACCCGCGAGTATCTTCTGTAGATAAATATGTATTTTTTGGTTGTCT